AAAAAAAAAAAAAAAAAAAAACAAGATGCAGGCAAATATAATATTTTATAACAATAATAGAATCGAATACCTTCTTGGCTTAGTTGTTCGATACGTTCTGTTTTTTTATCAAGTTGCTCACTTAATCTGGATGCCGCTTGTAAACATTCTTTAGCTTCAGCTAATTGTTCCTATTAAGAATTATCAAAGAATTATATAGTTTCACATTAAGTATTAGAAAAATAATACTTTTAACGTTTACACATAACTATATAAATATACCTTAAGATTTGTAACATCATTGGTTAACTCTTCCCTTTTTTTATAAGATTCGTTTAATTTAGATTGAATTCTTTCTGTTGCCGCTATGATATCTTTTTCTTTATCTAAAAATTATTGATACAAATTATCATCCATTATTGTTATAAATGACGATAATAAGCAATAATATTTTATAATATTTTATGTTGCTCGTGAAATTGTTTGAATTACCTCGTTGGAATTGTTCTAGGACAATTTGTAAATTAGTCAAAGACGCAGTTTGGGATAGGATCTTGTCCTCAGCAACGGATAATTTATTTTGTATATCATCCCTTTGTTGAACAATCAATACCATTTGTTGCTGCAATGTTTCCACTTGTTGATTTGCTCTTATATTAGCAGAAGTATACGCATTCGAACTGGTCTTCAACTTTTCCTCAGCCTGCTGTAGTTTCGCTTCCAATTCTTTTCGCCCTTCTTCAGCAAGCAGAGCATCTTCCGTGTAATTCGATTCCATTTCAACCAAATGCGATCTTAGCCTTTCTAATTCTTTCGCGGCGTTCGCTTCTTTGCTCTGACTTTCGCCAAGTTGATTCTGCAACATTCTGTTGTTCGATTGTTCTTGAATCAGAGCTGCTTCTAACGCGTTACACTTCTCAGTGAGAATCTCAATTTCCGATGTTTGAGTCGAATGCTCGACAATCCCACAAGTTGCCCCGTTGCTCGAGTCTTCAGCGTTTCTCAAACGCTGTTGGACTGCTTGCAACTCGTTATTCGTCCACAAAAGTTGAGCATCTTTCTCCTTCAGATCAGATAAATGTATATCTTTCTCTGCTAATAAACTCTGAATCTGCGATGTTTGCTCGTTCAAGAGTTGCGTTAATCTTTGGATTTCCCCATGATATTGCAGACTTTCATTGTGTTTGACGGTTACAAGTTTCACGAGTTCGTCCCTTTCGTTCTTTATAGTCGAAAAATGATCCGACGTTTCTTCATTATTTTTAGCAAGATGAAGTGCGTTTTTAAGGCCATTGATTTCTTCGTCTTTTTCTTTAATAAGGTGAGACAGACTTTCTATCGTTTGTTTACCCATATCAATCGATTCCTTATAACCCTCGATATTGTCTTGCATTTTCTTTCGTATATCCGTAATCTCCGCGATTAATTTACCATTTTCGTTTTTTAGAACATCGTTTTGTCGTTTCTCTTCCTCTAAACACGCTGCAATTTGCTCGTTGTCATAGGCATTTTCATTTATACGATTCAATAATTCCTTTTTCTCCTCTTGTAGACATGCTACGTCGTATTCCAATTTCTTATAATTATCCCGAATTACTTCGTATTCGCTCTTTAAAGTTTTATTCTCTTCCGCGACAGTTGCAAAATTTTCTTGTAACTTTGCCAATTCCCTCTCCCTCAAACGTAAAGTCTCCACTTCGTTCATCAATTGAGCATGATCATTTTGCATGGAACTTAATTTTTCAGTCAACTGGTTAATCTCAAATTCGTTCTTTAATTCCTCGTGTTTTTTTATTTCATTTTGCAAATTTTCGTTTTCCAATTGAAATTTTTCCGCCACTTTATTCATTGAAAAATAATCACTCTCTAATTTCGCATACCTTTCTTCCGCCTCTCGTAATTCTTCTCTAATTTCACTCAACATCTTCTCCTTACTCGTTACCCGTTCTCTCAATTCCGACATTTCCTGTTCCAACAGAGACTTTTCCGTGCTCACCAAATCTATCTTATCGTTGGAATCGTCTTGAATGGCAGTCAACTGTTCCAACAGGGAATTCTTCTCTTTCGTTAAACTTTCATTTTCTTGGTTCAATCTCGCTATGCAATCCTCTTTCGCGTCTATCCTATTGAACGCCTCGTCCAATTCTTTCCTCATGTTTAATATATCATACTCCAAATCATCTTTCTCGCGATTAGTTTTGTTCAATTGCTCCTGAAGATCTCTCAACGTGTCGTTACTCCCCGTCTCTGAATTGCTTTCACGCCACTGCGAGATCTCCATTTCTAATTGTTCATTCCTTCGAGATAATTCCTCGTTTTCCTTTTGAATCTCATCCTTCGTGCCTCGAATTTGCGCCAACGTATTTTCTAATTGCCTCGTGTTAGACGTGGACGTTTTTAATTCTCGCCTCGTATTCTCAAGATCGTGTTTCAACTCCTCGATGAATTCGATATTTTCGTCCAAATCTTTGCACTTCTCCAACGACATCCTCAATTGCTCCTGCATCTCCTTCTCCGTGCCCTCCAACAGATCTACCTTTCTTCGTAACTCGTCGTTCTCGTCCAACGTCACGTGCAACTTTCGATTCAGGCTTTCCATCGTGTTGAACGTGTCTTCGATATCCTCCGGGATATTTTCCAATTTTCCTTGTTTCCTAGTTTGAGACGTGGTCGTCGCGCTACCTTGAGCCTTTAATCGGGTTTCGTTCGGGCCGACACCGCGTATAACAGCGTTCTTCTTTCGCAACGAGTTCTTCTTACGCAGCACGGAGTTCTCCGCTTGAAGATGTTTCACTTCCTCGTTCAACGATTCGATTTCCAATTCCAATGAGACGACTCGTTCCTCATTCGCCTCAGGTATGGGCGGTAAATTTAATTTTAAATCTTCGATCTCCTGCAACAGCGTGTCGATGTGAGTCTGTTTAATGTTGCACTCCATTTGCAGGTCATCCTTCATTTCCACGACTCCTTTCAACTCTCTGTTCAACTCTGATACCCATTTCTCAACCACATCTTTCTTCCATTTCACGTCTATGTACTCTTTCGCCAGGGTCTCGAAAATCGACTCGTCTGGTTCAATCTCAACGAAAGAACTCTTCAAAATATCCTTCACCCTCTTGGTCAATTCATTCAAGTCAATTCTCTTGTCCCGCACCTCGATCGTTTCCGCACTCTCCTCCATTTCTGGATGATCACTTGTCTGGATACATTTATCTACATATTCTAAACTATTAGTTTGCACGAAACATGGAACAGTTTCTGTTCGTATCAACGTGCTCGATTCCTTAAGTTTACCTTCCAATTGGACGACCTTATCTTGAGCCTGATTGTAGTCTACGTAAAGCTGTTCGTAAGCGTTTTGAAGGCACTGATGTTTCTTTTCAACCTCCTCCTTGAGAGATAACAGTTTCTCTACGGAATGAATGGAAAGATAATTAATTACTAGTCTTTCTATTATACATTATATCCGTTATAATCAATCACTTAGATCGATATATTGTATTAATTCACAAATCAAATCTGTATTAATTGATAGATCAAACTTAATGCAATGCATTTGTATAAAAATTCTTAAATTTAAAATTTGCATCTTGGAAAAAAATAATATCTAAATACCATAATGTAAAATCGAAGAATTAAAAATAAAACTTAAAAAGTTAAACTAATGAAATTTATCAAAAAAAAAAAAAAATCATTTGATCTTTAAAAAAGTAGATATTATATATGTATTAAAATTTCCATATAAAATATAATTGTGAATGACTTATATATCATTACCTATCGATTCCTCGTGTTGCTGATCGAGTTCCTCGACACTTGTGAACAATCTTTTATTCTCTTCTTGAAGCTCCTCGATTTTCTTGTATAATTCCATTTCCCTGTTGCTCGAGGCCTCGATAAATCCATCGTGTCTCACGTGATTCTCCGAGTTCACGCTGAAATTAGGCTTCAACGGAACGGATTCGTGGGTGACAGTGCTCGGTCTCTTAAACTTTTCGTCGAAGTCGGATTTCTCTTGTTTATTAGCCTCGCTGTATTTCTCGTTTTCGGTTTCCAGCGCTTTTAGCGCGCCTCGAACTAAATCCAGCTTCTCGAGAGAGTTCAATTTGGACAGCACCGTGCGGAAATCGTTGATCAACGCCGTTTCATCCGATTGCATGCGTTTCGTATTCCTCTCAGCTTCCCGACTCTAATCAACACACGATATTACGATGCTCATTTGATCAAGAATATTTTTTTTTCTTATCAAAAAAATATGATTATTTCTTCTTTATCGATTGAAATCTATTCCATATTTATAACAAAATATTTATAAGAATAGATTAATCGATTGAGGAAAAGAATAGAGGATTTTTGATTATAAAAAGTCTGTGTAACGTAATATCAATTCGTGTCTAAAAAAAGGTATTGGATTTTATTTCATAATAAGTATGCAAACAATTAGTAAAACACTTGCACGTGCTTAACTACCACTTGTTATATTCTTAGTGTGTAAGAATCATTAGTATAGTGTTAACAGTTAATAATAATAAATATCTTGGTGCTGGATCGTTTGTTTTATTTGACCAGATTTAAGTCTTTAAATACACTACTGTGCCGTTTAAAATAAAGTGATCCAAAGTATTATAGTGTCGAATTCAATTTCATAACATCCTTTTATTCAAATTTGTTATTTGTATAACCATCTGTTACATAGACATATTAGTAATCTCAAATTTGTTTGATTAAACGTAATGATTCACTAGGAATGCTTCTTAATCATGCTAATACATATCGAAGGTCGAAACATATTTTTCGACCGACCGAAAGAGAATAAATTATTCTTTCGATTTGTCTTTACCAAATTCTAATACCTTTTCTTCCATTTGTATTATACGATTCACCATATCCTGCTTCGCTCTCAAGAATTCTGCTTTCTGGTGTCCATCAGTTAATTCATCTTTCAAGGAGGAATTGTTAACCTGAAATGAATAATTATTAGAAATTTTACAACGACAAATTTAAATTTTTTTCTTTATCACATGCGTATTTTATTTCTCTTCGTTATATATTTAATATATTAAATATATTTACAAAGAACAAGAACTTTTAAAAAAAAGAATACTTTTCTAAATTCTGAATCAATAAAAATAAAATAATCGAATAATTAATAAATCAAAGTTATTTTATAAATGAAGATTAATCTAAAATACAATAGAATAAATAATAACTTTCTTGTTTAAACCAAAGAAAATTGAGTTTGAAAATTCTTCGAATATATGTAAATTCAACCAATTTCTAACCAAATGTGTTCAATGTCTGTTATTTCAAACTTAGTTTTCTTTAAAATATAATTTCAAGCTAAAAAATTGTATTTAACATTTTTGCATATTTGTATATTTTTATGTATAAAGTAACTTCCTATAATTTAGTTTATATCATTTACAAACAGAAACATAAATGTTGAAAAATAAATAATACTATTATAATAAAAATTGTTATTGAATGTAATTATGTCGCTTACTGTAAATATTTATCCGCCATAATTAAATAATAATTAAAATCATGTAAATAAAAATACACGTAATATGAAATATAAAATTGAAATTAAAAAATAATTACGATAACAATTGTAAAATAACATATTTATAAATTAAAATTCAATTCTTTTTAACAATGGAATGGATTAAAATTTCTTAGGATGGAATATCAGTATGAAATGTTACAAAATAAAGTGGTAAAACGAGATAGAAAATGTGTCAACATTTTCGTTTATTATGCAATTTAAAAAAAAAAACAGTAATAGTAAATTGATTATGTTACGCGTTATATTTTGAATCAATAAGATGGTAGTGATACGATATTGATTGAAGATAATGCGTAATAACATGTGTTATCACATGTATATGTGCGTAAAACATTGGTACCGAGTTAAAATTAAACGCAATTATCTGAAAACAATTGCATCAGTAATTATACCATTTATGTTTAGTGGGACAGAGAAGACAATGCGATTATTAAATGGACAGGGAGCTATGAAAATATTATATGTACGCCAGTAGCGCCATTCTTAATTTTTTAAGAATGTATTTTAAACTGTTATTTTTTTTGTTGCTAATCATTTACTTACAATTTGTCTCGATTCTTGTAATTTATTTATTATTTATCATGATTAATATATATTTTTAAATAATTAATATAGACTTATTCTCATTAATTTGAAAATATATAATAAAATTGAATAGAAAATATTTATGAAAAAATTTTATTTATATTTTTTTTTTTTGTGAATTTTTCAAAACTTTTATTATCAATGCAAATTTGTTCGTTCCAATATTAGAATTTTTGCATCGTTGAATAAGATTTTAGAATACTTTACCTTTTGAATGCGTTTAACTTCGGCTTCTAAATCTCGTATCTTCATGGTGGCTTGTACCAATTGTTCTTGCAACTGTCGTACGTGGTTCTGATTTTTCGAATTTCGATTTTTCGCGGACGGTGGATCCCAAAAAAATACTTCGCCCTCATCATCTTGATTATTATCGTTCTGCAACGAACAGATCATTGAAATTATAAATAATATATAAATTATTATATATTATAATATATATTATATAATAATATTATATAATATATTAATAATAATTATAAATAATCCGAATCCATTTTATTTATTTTTTTAGCAAAACAAAATAATTCTCTTTTAATCTCATTAAACGTAATATACATCGAAGATATTATAAATTTCTTAATCGATATATTTTATATATATTATATTTCTACTAAATAAACATAATTGTAAACAATTTCGACGATTAATCATTATTTCATAATATATTCATATCATGCAATGTCTCGATGTAAGATAAAATTATATAGGAGCTAGGATTATATCAAAGAGATAGAATTAAAAAAAAATTCACAAAGATCTTTTGTGAATGATCTGATTTTAAAAGCAAAATACGCATTAATGCATCGGTGCATCAGCAAACACGTGGTTCGATTGAAAATTCAAGTGACAATTCTTACGAAAACGAGCGATAATTCGCAAGACACACACACGTACAAAAAAAAGTGTCAAAAAAAACAAGTGTTTTAGTCACAAAAAAATATTGTTATTTATCGAGACGAATAGATCGGCAAATCGTAACGTGCCATGACATTTCAATGGCCATGTCGGATACGAGTAATTTTTATCGGAGAGGAAGCTCGCGATTATATCGCGTAAAAAATACTGGAGTTCATTTTTCGAACTTGCATCGAGTAACTTATGAATTTCAGAAAAATATTAAAAAATCGTATCGTTATTAATGTAACAACAAACAATCTACTAAGTTTCCCCCCCTAAATTATCGTATAATTAGATCTTAAGAAATTTCTGATGATGAAATTTAAACGATTAATTAAAATTAAAATAACAAACGTATATTTTTAAAAGAAATCACGATGGTATGGTATAAAATGTATTTTAAGGAATTAATTTCAGTCAAAATATTCTTTATTTATACAAATGTAAAAAGTAAAATATTTAATAGGGATACATTGAGTAATAAATGATAATTATTGACAATGAATGATTAATCTGCTTTAAGATATTGATAAATTGAATTACACTTTTGTTTATTCAGTAAACTAAAAGGAGGTTCCTTATAAATAAAAATTTAGAAATAATTAAGCACTTTGGTGAATGTAATTAATTTATACATTTTAACTATCTTTTCGAATAAATATTTTAATCAGAAACGATTTTCTACTCTGTAAATATATGAATTTAGCTATTTGCTTTTTGAAATTCAAATATTTTACGAGATTTAACGAACGTATCCAAACTATAAATAAGTTTTCCATTTTTATAATTAATAAAAACATGCAGATAGTTTTATAAAATTAATATTAATCTAATTGTAAATACAATGGATCCATTGATGAATGATATTTAACTTCCATCATTAAATATATACAATATATAGTAGATATCCTAGAAATTCATCAATCCAATTGTCAAAACACTGCACATGAATCGTGCCACATTGACGTTTCTCTGCAACTTTTTGACTCGAAACAGGATGTGACTGACTGGTAAGCAGCGTATATGATTACTAACTTATGATTGTTACACAAGTTTACATAAGTATCTCGTATGCCAATGAACAATGCAACCTAACATAGACGTTGTTGCGACCATGGTCTCGTGCGAAAAGAGAGAAGAGAAAAAGAGAGAGAGAGAGAGAGAGAGAGAGAGAGAGAGAGAGAGAGAAAACTGGGAAAAAAATAAAAAAGAGCGGGGATGGACGCACTTATGCAATCGAAATTATGATCAGTCTCGTTGAGGAAGAGAAAGAAAAAACGATATTGAAGGCACATTCGGTTTTTCAAATTGCCCGCACCCGATGCGGGAAAGGATGTCAAGATTTTACGGTGAATTGAGACCTTATAAAAGCCTTGTCATTCCATAGAAATTGCCTCGATTATGTAATCCCTCGTGTACTCTCTCACGTGTTCCATGCATATTTCGCCTCTTGTTTTTATCTATGCAAAAGCCGATCGGATATCTCAATTTAATTCAATTCGCACCGCCAGATACGGTAAATTAAATTTGTTATTGAAAACGCGTGTTGGATAAATTGCAATCTCGTTTCCTTTTTATCTCAGTTATTATTTCTTTCTTTTCTTTTCCCTTCTTTTCAAACTTGTTACGGTTCGAAGTTTGTTCGATTGTATTTCATGATATAAATATAATGGGTCCTTTAAATAGTTTAGAACCGAGGAACGTTGAACGAACGGGTTGTATTCGCTTGTGTGCCTTTTGTTTTTTGTTATTTTATCTATTTAATAATTTTTATATTTGAAATGAGGACGGTTAAAAGAGTGTATATATTTGTTTTCAATTGTCGAGGAAACTAGGTTATTGATAAGCTAACTGAAAGCTTTTTTTCTTTTGAATTTATATTTTTATTTATTTATTTACGATGAATCATTGTATATATAAAAAGAGATAGATATTTCAAAATTTTAAAATTTTTTCAATTTGTTTAGTGAAATTATTTTATTAAACGTAAATAGTGCAGGGATAATAATAATTTATTCTTAAAAATATATTTATTTTTTTATTATTTCCCATATGATAGATAATTGTCACATTCAAAGTGAAGATAAAAGTTTAAAATGAAATACGAATGAATTTATATTTATTTCTATTAATAGTTAATAATAATTGAATAATAATGTGTATATATCTTTCGTTGTCTGTCGTTCTCTATGTAATAAATATGTAATAATGTATAATTATATGTTTCAAACACGAAGAAATATCAGATGATTGAATAATTTTAAACCTAAATAGCATAAACCATACAGAAATAATTTAATAAAGTCAGATTTAATAATTTACAATAACTTCATGAATAGAAAAATAATTCAAAAGTGAGTCACGAAAGTTTATAATGCGTTGAACTATAACTCGTTTGAGAAGAAGGGAAAAACAATTGTCTCAAAACTTACAATGCCTCGTTAATGAACGCCACATCCAATTTAAATTGTAAAACAGATTATTGTGAAAAAATTTACAGGGACACTCGTAAGAATTGTTTCAAAAAACGTGGAAATTCCTTTGGTCAAGAGTCAATAGAGAGAAATAGCTTGTCAATTGATTCGAAAGTCCTTCGTCATGCATTACCATAATTCTATACAAATTATTCAATGGGTTGTCATTGTGTCCACGCATAACCCTGACAAAAGACTACAAATAGGTTTTTAACCTACCATAAGTTTCTCCCATCTCGACAGGGGAAGCAAAGATTCATCTTTCGACCGGGCTTTATGCTGCCCAAAGTTCTTTCATCTAAAAGTCATTTCATCTAAAAGTCTATTCCAAACAAATCGTTTTCTTCTTTGCCACCATATTAAAAAGAATAGCGCAAAAGTTAGGCAAAAATGTATTGTATATGGGGTGTTGATGATAATTCATAGAATATTTTTGGAGAATTGATCTAGAGACCAAATCGAACACAAACGTTAGCGTGCAAAAATATCGATTGAAATTTATTTATAAGATTATAAAGCAATTGAAGTATGCATTAGATGAAATGAGATAGAGCGAGATAATTATATCTTCGTCACAGCGCCATCTTATTCCGTCTTTTGTCTCGCTTTATCTAAAGCAAACTTGAATTGCTTGCAATTAATTATAATAATTGCTTTAGTGATTGTTTTAACCTTTAAAATCGATTCTCTCAATATTTTATGAATATTAACGCTCTGTATATTCTTGTTATAGTTTTTGAAAAAAAGAGCTCGTACAAAGTAATTAATTTAATGAGTTGTAATTTTTCCACAATGTTAACGTTGAAGAATCATATAACGTGTATCTAACACATCTTTGGAAAATCGATTCAATATAAAGAAAAAATTATAATATTCAATGAAAAATTATTAATTATTATTATGTAAATTATAATCATACGTATTTAGTTATATTTTTTAAATTTTCCAAAGATTGATACGCAAGAAGACGGAATATTTCAATGATTTTTCTTATCTTTTTTTGTGAAGTAATTTGAATAAACAAAAATCAATTCGTCGATGCATATGTTGGAAGAGTTTGGTGTCGCATCGTTGCATATTATTCATACGACCCTCTCAGATATGCGACTGATACTGAAAAGCTTTCGATGCACACTGTCGAAATGGTAATCGATGCACGCGCGTTATGCATCTGTCTTGCCTGCCTCCGACTGATATTTTTTTAAATCGATCCTGCCCGCGATAAACAGTCCTTTTGCCCCCGGAATATAACCCCGATTTTAGCGTGGACAGGAAAAAATAATTTAAATAATTTTCAATTTCCCTTTTTCCAATAATGTGAAAATGTAAAATTGTTGCATAATCTTGTAATACATCAATCTTCTTAAACGATTGTGTGTTTCCCTAATTAATTTGAATTCTAAAAGTTTTGCTATTATTTATTAAAGAAAAAAAAAAAAAAAAAAAANAGAAGAAGAAGAAGAAGAAAATATAATTCTTTTCTTCTTAAATTTTGATTCGATCTTTAATAGAAAGAAATATAATTTTCTCATTTTATATCAACATGATCTCGTGTATATATCATCATTCTCATACCAATTACCGATTATCGCAATTTTATTATCTTGTTTAAAAATAATATTCTTCGAGATACGAATCGACAGGTGATATAATAAAAAAAAAAAAAGAACGCGCCTATTTTTAAAAATAACCAGGACAAAATATGTCAGAAAAAAGCAGTTGCGTGAAAAAAAAAAAAAAGTTGGGCTGAAACATTGTATTCTTACAAACATGCAGGCGCCTCGTGCCCAAAGGGGAGCGCAACTCTAATGAATATGAAAGGAGTCTCCGTTAGGTCAGGTCAAGGAATAATGCATCGTTTGACTTGCATACAATCTTACACGACAAAAGTTTCCTTTTCTTTTTTTTCCTTTTTTTTTTTTTTTTTTCTTCCATTACGGTCTGTTTATACATTTACTTCATCTTGAACATACGATATGTTAAGATTGACGGGGAGAAGATCCC